TCCACAACTAGACTGAAGAACAAAACGACAGCAACTTGTCTGTTCCCCTTCCCCCAATTCCCCAGCGCTGTTCCAATTCCCCAATAAAAAATTCTTTAAAAAAAAAAAAAGATAGCACCTTTTAAAAGTAGATGTTTACACAGAAAGAAAGAAAACCAGTCTCTGGCTGGTGGGATTTTAAGTGATTTCTGCTGTCTTCATTATTCATTTTTCATCTTCCAATTTACTAAAATAAACTTGTATATGCAGAAAAATATACAGACAATAGAATTTTAAACTGTAAGCCTGTGTGGCAAAAGAAAATGAAAATCCTTAAACTTGTATTCCTAAAAATTAACTCATTAAAAAAGAAGGAAAATGAAGGAAGGGCAAGAAAGAGGAAGCCATTGTCATGCATTGAACATTAACACAGGGCAGGAACTGTGCTCCACGCCTTATGTGTAAGAACTCATTACAGCAACTCTGCAGGCTGCCTAGCTCAGAGGCCAGCTGAGCCCTGGGGGGGCCACACAACTCATATGTTATGAGAAAAAAAATGCTCCACAGCCACCAGACCCTCATTTTGGAATTCTGTGTTTTTTACTAAGTCTTAAGTTAGAAGCTTTACCTTATACAATGATGTTCTGTTGATCAGTCCTTTGTAGAAACTATTGTTACAGGTTATCCGCAAAGATTTTTTAACTCCCACACGTTTACCAATTACTTGTTTTTCAGCAAAACAGCTGTGTTTACTTCTTTTGATGACATTTAATTTCCATTTATTAGTATGATTTCTATGAAATAAAGGTTTACAGATAATTCATAATTAGTACACAGGCTTTGCAAATACCACCTTTCAGTAACCAATCCAATGAATTTTTTTTCTTATTATTGTGTACAGTGACTAATTCATTGATGCTCAAACCCTGCCCTGCCTCTTTCTGGTTCAGTGTAGCAAGAAATTTAACAACTGTCATGGGATGGGGTAGAAGGCAGAGAAAGACAAAAACCTGCACAGTTTGACACACACTGACAGAGAGAGAGAGAGACAGAGAGAGAGAGAGAGAGAGAGAGAGAGAGAGAGGACCTACTGCAGACTATGTATTATGGATTTCAAGACAGAAATGTTTAAGACTTAAATGATTTTTGGAGATGGACAAATTCAGGGAAGATTCTTAACTCAGGATAGTAGCATGGCGGTGGTTTCAGGAGGTCTATAAGAACACCCCTGAACTTGCTTTCTGGGTGTCTGTATTTCTCAAGGCATTTAATTCCAATTCTCTTCTTACTGTTGCGTAAACCAAAGTAGGATGGTTACCCTCAGCCTATCATATCAGCATTTCACGTGCCTTCCTGAGCAAAAGTTAGTTTTAATAGATAGCATGGTTGTCGTTCCTGCTGACTAGACATTAGAAATCTAAAAGAGAAGAAAACATCTAAGACCAATTTTAAAAAGAATCGTTTAAGAAAGATATTGCAAGCAGGATGTTGCATTCATATACCGAATACAACCGACATGTGTTGTTAAATTGTCCTCTGTGTCTGACAAATTTGTACCCTCCATCGGCTCTTCTAATTCCCCTTTAAATCTACAATAGGATGGAAGACGAGCATTGATTGAGTTCCAGGTACTGTGCATTGTGTGCAGCAGAAACTGTTTTGGACTGTTTTCCATACGTTAGGTGAGAGCTAAACTTCAGGCTAAGTTAAATAGCTGGCCCAAGTCACATACCTGACAGGCAATGGGACCAGGACACACACTCACATGCACATGCACACTCCCTAAAGGCTGGGAGTGTATTACACAATACTGTGTTATCACAATCGATGTGAATCCTTTCCGCTCAGTTTGAAATTATACAGGATTGGCCAGGGCTGGGGGTGGGAGCAGGTGTTGGCAGCTGTCTTCAAGATTCAAGGCACTGAGTCAGTGGCCATGAAACATCATTGAGCTACCTGGCCCTTGGAAAAAATTCAGAATTCCACTGGCAGCATCCTCTTCTTCAGCATTTCTGTAATGTTTCCCTGACTTCAGCCTCACCATACTGGACAGAGATATATTTTTGGGTCTCTCTGTCAAGTTGTTTACAAGGAATAAGGTGCACACATACGTACACAATTAAATTCGCAAACTTGTCACAACAATGTTACTAACCTTTTTTTATATCAGAGGGATTTTTCATTCTAAATTTATACCAACTGGACAAACAGTTAACCAAGTTTACCATTTGGAAGTGCTGAAAAGGCTGCATGACAAAGTTAGACAACCTGAACTTTTTGCCAATAATTCACGGCTCTTGCATCATGACAATGCACCAGTTCACACCGCACTGCCTGTGAGGGAGTTTTGAGCCAGTAAGCAAATAACTGTATTGGAACACCCTCCCTACTCACCTGATCTGGCCCCCAATGACTTCTTTCTTTACCCAAAGATAAAGGAAATAGTGAAAGGAAGACATTTTGATGACATTCAGGACATCAAGGGTAATATGATGACAGCTCTGATGGCCCTTCCAGAAAAAGAGTTCCAAAATTGCTTTGAAGGGTGGACCAGACACTGGCATTGGTGCAAAGCTTCCACAAGGGGAGCACTTTGAAGGTGACCATAGTGATATTCAGCATTTAAGTATGTAGCCTTTTTTCTAGGATCAGTTCATGAACTTGATTGCCTGACCTCATATGCTCATCTTATCAGGCCGTGTTGTTCTCTACTTCTGCAAACCTCAATTCCTAACACTGAACAAATACTGACTGGTGTGGTACCTCCACATCCAAGGCACTGCACCAGCACACTAAAACAGGCCACACACTGTGTGCCATGAGGCGCTCAGAGGCTGCTGTGACACTGAGGCCAACGGGCCCAAAGCTGTAACCATCGGCACTGACCAGGTTGCAAGACCACTCCTGGCCATACGCAGAGGGATTTAAGAAACTCTAGTGCACTCTTCTGTGGTTCCTTACTAAGCCAACCTTGCTGCTTGTCAGCCTGGAACCCAATGATAGGATTCCTGCAGTGGGTTTTGCTCTCTCCCTTCATTTCTTCACCTCTATTATCAAAAATTCTCCCTGCATCCCTTCCCTCCTTAGGGGACTTCTTTAAAATGTTATCTGACCAAGTGATTTTCACTGTAGAATTAAAATACTAGTCTCCAGAGGCATTTGGTTATTAGCAATAGACTCCTGAAAATTTAAAGGATATATAATAACTCTAAGCAGACGATTCCAGGAGGAGGGTCTGGTCATTGACAGGTCCCACATGAAACCACAAAGCCTCACTCACCTGAGTTGATGCACACATGCACACACGCACACACACACGCACACGCCTCTGTGGCAAACACAGGATGCTGTTCACCAGTTGCACTAGAATAAGTCTATATCTTCAAGACTCCCACATAGACTCCCATTTATTTTCGAAACCATTGTCAAGGGTGCTTCTCCCACTATAACTTTAGTCTCACATTATCCATCAACTTCCAACGCCCTTCAGAGTTCATCACCACAGCCACTGTGGCCGCCTTGTTTTCCTCATCTTCTCCGAGCCTCTTCCTGCCTTGTCTGTCCAAGCCTCTGTGACATCCTACCTCTGTTTGATGATCCCACCTTTCTTCCTAACCAAGGCTGTGCTCTCTGCATTTCATACTAGAGATGGGTAGTGCCCTAGATTCCTATCTGTCCACAAGTTACTTTGGTGGATGGCTGGTTCTCCCCCTCACTTTGCTCCTTCTGCCCTGTCCAGCATACTTTGTCAATTTAAACCATGCCTTTATTCAATCAGGATTAGAGAGGCATTCATTTTTCTCTACCTCATTTATGAGTATTCCTTCTACCTCACCGTGAAAAGACTCAGTTATAACCCATTTTTGGAATCATCTCTCTTAAGAGGTTATATAAAATTCACCAGTTAACAAAAAAGAATTCTCGAATTTCTTTCTGAGTCCTGGGAGTGCCTATGTACAAAAACAAACCAACATGACCTCATTTTGTGCAAAACCGCAGACGTGATATAAAGATTTCACCGTGATATCTCACTCTGCTTTCAACAGCACTGTTGATAATTATCAGGACTCACTTCCCAAGATGCTCATGAAAGAAATCTACTACGTTTGGCACCATCACCACTCACCTGACCCTGAGCAATTTTCTACAGGGCAGTCTCAAATCTCTATAAAAATACATACACACATACATACACATACATACATACATACGTGTGGACATCACAAATGTACCAGATGGTCTCATCAACACTCCATCACATAGAAAATTCCTTTTCCATCTCACCAAATAAAGTATAAAGAGCATTAAGCTCAATAATAATTGTTGCTACATTCAGTTGGTTGTTCTCCTTTCCTAGAACTTCTGATTCTGACTCTGAGCATCTGGCAGGCCTGGGTTACGTCACAAGGAGGCTGTGCTAAGTCCCTTCTGTGCTCCCCTCTGTTACTGCCCTGGTGATATGGTTGTGACTGGTTGCCACACACAAAAATCCCTCCCTGGCACTGCCACCTGGTTCTCAGCAAACCCCAGAAAACTGGACTACACCAGTTCCGAACCTACTCGCCAGCCTGAGGATACCACCCAGACAACAGGAACTACGGAATATTAGAATGAATTTCATTCAGTCTTTACTTATCTTTAGCAAGAATTCCTTAAAACGAAGTCATGTAAGAGAATCTTCATTTAATTAAGATCACTAAGAACACAAACACAGGGCAGTATTTAATTTAATTTTTCTATAGTGAAGTACTTATTTCATGTTGAAGGAAGAGTAAGGGAGAGAAAATGCATGGATTGTCTGACCTTTCGGATTACTGTATGCTTGATTTGAGAAACAGAGTCCAGAAGTGCCCTAAAATTCACTAACACAAAGGGAAGGTATACTCACCCCATTTGGACAACATAAGTTCCATTGTCATTCAACTCGATTGGCCAGAACTCCAAAACGTAATCACGGAGAGTAATTCTGGGAGAGCTGCTTGAGCTTAGCTCAACATGCCCATGTGACTCAGTGCATTTGAACCATTTTATGGTGGCTGTTTCATTCTTATGTTCAGGTGACAATGAGCAATATTTCAGATAGAAAGGCTCTCCTTCAACTACAGTGATGATATCACGTAGATAACAGGTTTCTTCTAAAGATGAGCAAAGTAAAAGAAAAAAATCAAAAACAGAATGACAAATGTCATTTTCTCACACTAAGGCACTTTCAGAACACCAAGGAGGACAAATCTTCTTACAGCCTCTCCCAAACAGGAGGGTACCAGAGCTTAACCTATCATAGCTAGTACACAGCTAAATGTAGTGTAAACTTTTAAAAGAAAATGTTACACGTGACAGCTTCCTCATAAGGAAAGCCACAGAAGTCACGTTGCCACACCTTCCCCTAAACATCCCTAGCTGAGGAGTGTCCATGGAAAAGAAAATAAGAAACCGAGAGACCTCAGCGATTTTCACTTGCATCATCACAAGTCTCACCTATCTTGCTGTCAACCAGTCTACTTAGCCATCCATTCCCCAGGCAGGTAGGTGTGTGGTTGGTTCGAGGTGCTCCTATGTCGCTTAGAGTGCATGTAAATTCATTATGTCTCTAGTTCACCATGTGGGTTATCAAGCATTGATTAATACATCACTCTAAGCCTGGGTATTTGTCACTTCCCCTTTTGGAGCTGGCATGAGCTCTCATGCTATCTCTCCTTCCCTTCCTCTTTCCTTGCTCCCTTCTGCTTCCTTAACGACCCTAGAGACTCTGGATTTAGAAATTTATCTGATACTTTCAGCTACACAGGGTCGCCATTCCCCTCCTTTTGCACTTCTGATAGTTCAAAGTCGGCATAAATTAAGGGACCTTTCCCATAGCCTGTCCTTGGCTGGCTCCAAGGTGCTTTTTAACCTCATTTTGAGGCTAAGAATCCTCCAATTGAGTAGAGCATTTCTCTGAGGGCATGGAGAAAATGCCTTCTCTATAGTTAGGGTGTACAAATATGTCTCAAAGCAACAACAGCCTGGTTTTTTTAATTCATTTTTGCTAACCACAATGTAAAGACGAAGTGGCTCAAATGGTAGAAGCGTTCTTTAAAAGCATGGATGCCAAAGCTACCTCAAAGCACAAGAGTTAATGAAGCACCTTGTGTGTGGTGCTTCTTACAGAATCCTATTTTACACTTCAGTGCTTCAGCACAGAAGGTGTGATGCACGTGGAAATGGGGGCGTTAGTTTTGATTGACACCCAGGCTATTAACAGTTTAATGTATTTTCCGGTTTTAGAGATACATATAAAACAGTGTGCAAATAATAGAAGACAGGCCCCTCGTGTCTAAATTCTTTCGTATATTACTATGTTTGGAATAGGCATTCATGTGGCTGCATGTAGCACAGACTTACTCTTTTTTTCAGTGATGAGGTATGACAATTAAGTTCGCGAACTTGTTGCAATGATGTTGCTAATCTTTTTTGATATCACAGGGATTATTCATTATGAATTTGTACCAATGAGAATGTAGCAGTCATTCTCAACATAGGGAATATGGGCTGATGTGTTTCCTTCCCCCTAGATCGTAGATCAGGGCAAATGAATATTTGTGCCCCCACCTTCTCTTCCAAAGCATAAGGGAAACCTTGCTAATCCATCATGGAACTCTTCTACAAATAATCCTGTTTTGGCCTCAGAATCTCTCAATAAAAATCATCAAGCAATCACTATTAGTCAATTAAGATTGATAATTGACACCTGATATAGTGCCTCCTACCTTCCCTGGACTAAGAAGTGTCTTTTATATGTAGTATCTCTAACTCTAATGTTTTATTTAAGATCTATAAAGTATTCCTTACAGATATTTAAGGTATTTTCTTCATCCCCTAAATAATGAGATGGAACTTTGCCTTCATTTTGGGAAGGAGATGACGTGTGTAAACTTTCCAAAATTCAACAATAAAGACAACGGTGACCTACTTGGCTTCAACATGAAGCCAGGTTTTCCTCTCAGACGAATGTAATTTATTTTGGGATACAAGTTTTTAATCCTGGTCTCTCTACATAAACTCAGAGGGCCAAATATTCTCCTTTTCAGTAATCCCATGTAATTATTTACTTGTTCCCATTCCTATGAATTTTTGTTCTCTATGCCAGAAACACCAAAGATTTGGCAATCTTTGAAAGTAAGAGTAAAATCACTAATTTTAATAAATTCAGAATCTTCAGTAGCTACCTCCACGTAAAAAGGCAAAACCTTGATGTTCCCTCTATACTCCCAACAATGTATGTTTATGAGTAACTGTTATTACTCACCTGTGGTGCTTATAAATATAAGAACCAAAAATGTCAAGAGTAGTTGTCCACAATGCATGTTTAGGATTCTGCTTTCAAAAAGTTTCCTGGAAAACAGAATAAGACAGGTTCAGCTACAACTTTCAAACAAAAGCCTACCTGTCTTATACAGGAGGTTTTAAAACATCTCTGGCACACAGACTTTTAAGAAATGGGCCCAGGATATTTTCATATCCCTTAATCTAGTCACCAGTTCTTCTCAGAACTTTCAGTTACATAAAATAATACAAAATTTCAGGCAATGAATTTTGGCATTCAGAAGAAAGGCCTAAAAATGCAATGTTCCACACTAGAGAGCCTTAAGTATTTTAGACCTTGTTTATGGACTGTTGCCTCCAAGGTCAAAATTGAGGACAACATTATTTCTAGAAAATCTACTATTCTATGCACAGACAGTGTGTGATATACTGAGATATATATGGCTGTTCTGCCCCTGTAGGAGTGAGTGTGTGTGTGTGCGTCTGTGTGTGTGTGTGTGTGTGTGTGTGTGTGTGTGTGTGTGTATTCCAGCTGCTTTGTTCTCTCACCACACCCACATGCTCATCACAATTTGTAAGTAGGTCTTTATCTGTAGGTTGAATTTTTAAATATACATCTTCTTTTTTTAGAACCTAAGTTTTGTAAGTTAGGAACTAAGTCTTGACCCTCATTGTATCACTGAAGCCCGCACCACGCTTAGTACATAGCAAGCACTCATAAACACGTGTTAATGAGTACCAGATGTGTGGATATGTACGCATGCTTTTGCCCTCACATGGCCACCTATGTTCTTAGGGAAATGCAGAAACAAAGTGGATCACATGCACCCCAGACACACACCTACTCTACACTGACTTTGATGTTATTCCAACTTAACTTCTGTCCTATTAATTACAAATTTAGGGGGCAGAATAGGAAGAAGGGTGTATTGGGGCTCATACACTGAGTTTCAATACTTCATAAACAATCCTATGTTCCTTGTATACCAGATATTTAGCTTTACCAGATGGAGGAAGCACATTACCACAGAAACAGCTTGGCTTCTGGGCCACACATATTTGGGTTGGCCTTCCAGCTTAGCCTTGACAAGCTGTGCAATCTTGGAAAATTTACTTAAAAGTCTCAGAGACTGTTTGCTCATTACCAAAATGGAGATGGTAAGAAGGCCTCTCTCTGAAATTACTGAGTGGTTAAACAAGCTAACATTTGTGAAGACTGCCTGGGCGCATGGTAGCTTCTCCATCTCAAATAATTCTCTCATCAACTACCACTCCACCTCCCATATACTAACAAAATAAAATAAATAAATAAATAAATAAATACTGTTAATGCCCAAATCCTGGACAAAGTTTGGCTAAGCTGCCAAACCATTTACATTGATCTTATTAAAACCATCACCAACCACTTGATGTAATTTCCAAGAGATAATAATCAATAACGTAAAGACAAAAGGGGTAAGTATATAGGGAAAGTACCAACTGTTCATAACAAAATTAAAATATTTCTAATGGTTTGAAACCAAACCCCAGTCCACACGTACACACACTTTATTATAACTATCTATTCTCTAATCTGGGGTAGAATGAAAAGTGTTATTTCCTCTGGTTAAGGTTGGCACAGCCTTGTAAAGAGCACTGCTATTTGTTTCTTTTGTTGTTTTACTTTTTTTTTTTTTTAATTCTCAAGGTCTAGTAAGAGATGAAGTTACTATGAGATAATCCAGCATTTTGATGAGTCAACTCTGAGTTTCAGTATGAAACATGTTAAGATTCCAGTACACAAATTAGCTGATGTTTGCACTACTCTATACATATGTATTTATAACATTTTTAATGTACTTACTATGGATTTAAAACATTCATATTAAATAATGGAACTCATTTCCAAAAGAAGAGCGATTGTGAGAAATGTCATAGATACCCTAATAATAAAATATATGTAGGAGGATATAAATATTAAATTTCCCACATGGAGAAATTCTGGGGACTTTTTTCAGTGTGATGTTTGATGTCAATTTCATTTTTTTGCCTTTACATAATTTTTAAATTTCTTTCTTCTTCCCTTTCTTTCTTTTATAAAACTTTCCTGACTTCTAAAGTAATATTCATCCATTATAGAACATTTAGAAAATGAAGATTAAAAAAAAGAAAATGAACTCAACATGCATAATACTTTAGCATGTTTTTCATACTTTTTCTATATATTTTCAAATAGTTACTATGATGTTTAAATGATGTCATATCCTGCATTCTCCACTTAATAAATGAGCATATTTTATGTCACAAAAATATCTTTGTCAACATCATTCTAATTGCCACATAATATTCCTTCATATGGTATATTGTAATTTACAAGCTGTATTTTATTATAAAATAACCCCATCACAATCTTCTTGTGTAAAGCAGTAGGGATCATTTTTTGGAGCATGGTGTCCAGTGCCAGGCTGGCCGGATTGAAATTGTCACTCTCCTCTTTACCAGCTGAATAATACTGGGCAGGTCACTTACCCTCTCTGTTCAATTTCTTTTTCCATGAAAGGGAATAACAATACTACCTCCCAGAGCTGGTGTGAAGATTACATGAATCACTATTGCAAAGTATCTGGTGAATAATAAATATCACTTAAAGGTTCGATATTATTATTTATCTACATTGCTTATTTTCCTGGTGCTGCTACATGGCAGTATAATCTATGAATCAAAGAATACATTTTAAACATGATAAATGCAAACTGCCAAACAGCATTCCAGAAATGTTATAATAATCTTACTCCCTCAACAGTGCAAGATAATATCCATCTACCACACCCACGTAAGCAGTGAGTACTCTCATTCTTTAAATCTAATTAGGTATTCAAATTAGTACAATGATATCTCACAGTTTTTTAAATTTACATTTCTGTTGGTATAAAGAAGGCAACACAATAATCATGTATTTTTTTAGCTATTTTCTTTCCATGTTTATGAACAATCTTTTTATGCCTTTTGTCCAGTTTTTAGATTAGCATTTTTTCCAACTTGTTTAGTTTACCTTTTAATTCCTCTTTTGATATTTTAACACATGGGCAATTTTATATGTATGCACTCGAACCTATCATTGTTTTACCTTGTGATTTTTTTCCATTGTTTAAATATTTAGAACATTCCTTTGTCTATAGCTTAGATTTTTTTTACATTTAATTTTTTTCCCACTCATTAACATAACTTTCTTGTTTGATATGAAGATAGGGTCAAACTTAACTTATTTTTCCCAAATAGCTGCTAATTACTTTTCTATGATTAAATAGTCCTGTCTTTCCTTTACAGTTTGTTGCTACCATAATTATAATGTACAGTTCCTCTCTGAGCACTCTATTAAAAAAAATCTAACACAGCATGTTTGCTCAAGTATAAATACACACCAACATCTGTACATGCACACACACACACGCACATACACACACTCACACACACCCCACTTTACTCTCCCATATTGCTTGGCTTTTCTATTCCTAGCACTTATCACTAACTGACACACTATCATTTCAGGTCTGTTTGCTTGTTTATTATCTGCTGAATTAATGAATGCATTAATTTCATAAAATATATATACTTGGACGTCTTCTGTGAGCAACTGATCAATCGTTATATCTGCATAATCTTCTACCTGTGAAATGCTTCTTAAATCATGACAACTTGAAAAGTATGTTTTAACTTTTCAAGTATGTTTTTGAAGTCCAGGGTACTCATTCTCACCTGGAGCTGGGAAAAAATGCTACCTGGGTTCCACTCAGACATCGGAAGGACAGCTGGGCATCCTGACTTGTAAAAATCCTCCAGGTGATTCTAATACACAGTCAAAGCAGAAAGACACTGGTACCAAGGATGTATTTATATTTCTAAAAGTAAATTTAATATATCTTAAATACATATTTAATAATATTTTATATATATTATATATGTACATATGTGTATGTGTACATATGTAGGTATGTATGTGCATACACACATACAAACACACACAAAGAACACTTACAAACTTCCCCTAAATCACCCAGTGGCATACAGTTTTCTCTAAATACAATAGGTTCTCTTCTAAAAATTGCGTGCCCAGGGTGAGGGTCAGCTCCAAGCTGACCACTCTCTCGGACCCCCAAGGTGGTGCAGTCCAATGTCCCTCCAGTGTCCCAATGGGCATCTCCTGGTTCTGACCCACTGCCTTCTGTATAAACCCCACTCTGAGCAAAGTTACCATTCTCTAGAAAGAGTAATTCACAGAAACCCATAAGTGTTAAGACATTCAAAGTTCTGTTTGATAAAGCACCTGAGCCCCAACCAGGTGAAATGGTCAAGTCCAGATTATAGAGAGTTTCAGTGACTCACAAAAATGCATGTAGATTGCCTCAATGTAAATCACTCTTATGAGGAAAACACAATTGAGCAGCTCCTAAGATAAACTGCCTTGATGAAAACCATTGATTTTTTTAAAAACACAGTTCTTTCTCTACAGTGTTTGATGCATAAGTGTTTCAGTCAGGCTTTGCGATGATGAAACAAAGCAAAGAGGAAAAATGATCTTGAACACACACACACATGGACGTACATATATGTGCATGCGCACGCATATGCACACACTTCCACTCAAAGGAGAATAGAGCTTGTATTGAATTAGGTTTCTCATCTGCAAGGCCAGGAGAGCCATTTCCATCTCACAGTCCTGGCCACACAATTGTCTGATGTTATCCTTATACCTTCTTCTCCCAGCTGCTGGGTGCCGGCAGTCCTTGCAGCTTGGCTCAATAGTTGCCATCTCAAAGAAGTTCCCTGCAGCCCTTGTCCAAGCCTGCACCACAACATGTTCCCATCACTCCACTCTCTGGTGGCTTCCCTGAGGGCAGGGACCCTGCCTTTCCACTCTGTTCCCAGACCACTTGTCCAGAGCCTTTGTATGTGTTTGTGCTGGGGGCAGGTGGCACACTAAAGCAGAACCTGCACAAACCCAGTTTCCCCCTAAACTTATACCCTCCCATGCCCTGCATAGAACCAAATGGGTGTTTGCCCAGGTCCCAAGAATGAGCAAGGGAAGAGGGTAAAATGAACACAAGCATCCCAGGTGTCTACCTGACTGGGATGGACCAGTCATGAGCTTGTCTCGTCACTGCTATGCACACTGCCAAGGGCTCTGACCCCTGCAGGCACCATGGATTAAAGATAAACGTTTTAGAATCAGGAAAATTTAGGTGTGCATCTGGGGTCTATGACTTAGTAGCTGGATGCCCTTGGATAAACTACTGAACCTCTCTGTTCCTTGGTTCACCTCTTTTTATTAAGCCTGTAGGAAGATCAAATGAAAACAATGCACCCAAATGTTTTGTACACAGTGTCAGACACAAAGGAAGTGCTTAATAAATGAAAACTATCACTTATTTTAGCTGTTCTCACTTTTTCAGAAAAGAAAAAAAGGGGGAATGTTTTAACACCTAAAACACTATTATCGGGAAGTTGGTGATGCTGTCTCACAGTTATTCATGGGTGTGTGTGTCTGTATACATAGAAATACGTGATATTTAAAAGCATATATACATGGATATATACATATAGATATATACATAGAGGGAGAGAGAGAGTCCCTGCCAGGTAAGTCTGGGTTGCCCCTTGCCCCAGGGCAGGCAGCAGAGGGCAGTGGGAGGAGGGGTGGGGTACAGATGGCAGCACCCCGCGCTCTCCTTACCTTCAGACTGGCGTCGTGGAGGCTGGGGCAGGGGCGGCTGTCCCACCTTCACACAGGTGGTGATGGGGGAGACAGTTCAGGAAGCAGGTGACAAACCGCCATAGGCTGCCCCCGCTAGCGCTGTAACAAGCAACGAAAGAGAGGAGCCACAAATGTCATTAAAGAGATTAGGCAGCTAGAGAAGTTTGAACAAAGAAAAAGACCAGAAAGTAAGAAGAAAGGAAAGGTGTCTGTTAGCCGTAGGCAGGAAACTCGGCTGGCAGAGGAGAGGGTGGGGCGCTGCGCTGGGTCCCGCCTAGTGTCCTCGACGTAGGACGGATGCTCCCGGTCGGGGGTGCTCCAATCCAGGATGCTCCTCGTCTGGGGTATGCTCTTGATCGCGAAGGCCTCCCACTGTAAGGGTGGTCCGGGGTGTGGATACTCCGGGGCTGGGGTGCTCCCGGGCTAGAGGGTTCGAGTCGGAATATATCGGCTCTTCCACCTGGGCGCCAGCCCGCGAGTTCGGAGACGACAGCGCAGCTGGAAAATCCGGCGCTTCGACCTGGCCCCGGGGACGCGCCGCGGTTCCTGGCAGCTCCGGGGCAATGGGTGGTGGCCTTGTGGCCTGTAGGGCCGCGAGGTGGCGCGCGGGTGCTGCTCCGACGCACCCTTCAGGCCGCCGAGCGGTGTGCACCAGAGTACCGGGAGGAGCTGGTCAACCTGCGCCAGGCAGAGAGGCCACATCTGCACTTAAGAGAAGAGGCTGGGGAGGGCTGGGGACAGGAAAGAAGGCAAGGAAGAGTCCCAGAGACACAGAACGGTCCCTGAGGTGAACCGAGGTGAGGAGGAGGTCATTGTCAGATGCACTGAAGCCTCAGGTCTGCCCTGAGGCCTCTGCTTAACCTGAGGGATGGGAGTTTCTCTGTTGGGGTTTTGCTATTGAGAGGCCTGCAGAGGTGTGGAATTGGAACTTGAAATTGTTTAGAAGAAAAGGAGGCCAACGGAGCACGTGTGTTTCTAAATTTCTACAGTGTGGTAGAACTCAGGATACATTTTTAGACTGGTCGTTGGAGCTTTCAAACAAAAATGAAGAATGAAACCGTGGCTGACAGAGAAAGGGGGTTTAATGAGACAGTGATTTCATTCTTTATATCCAATCAATATAATTAATCATATGATAAATATAATATATACAATACTAATATAGTATAATATACAATAACTATAATAATAATAAAGGAGACAATCATATAATTATCTCAATAAATGAAATTTTAAAAGCATCTGACAAAAGTCAACACCCTTTCCTGATTAATAACGCTTGGAAAATTGAGACTAGAAAGAAACTTTCATCATCTGATAAAGAACATCTATAAGAAACCTATGGGTAACTCCATAATAAACTGTGAAAAACTTTGCTTTTTCTTAAGATGGGGAACAAGATAAAGATGTCAGCCCTCACCTAGGACAATAATTTTGTATTAAGTAAGTAAATAAAAATAGAAGGCTTAAACATTGGAAAAGAAGAAATAAAATTACTCGTTTTGACAGAGGGTATAATTTTATGTAGATCACCTTTGGAAATCTATAAAAAAAAGTACTGGAAATAAGTGAGTTTAGCAAGACAATGGAATACAAGGTCAATAAACAAAACTTAGCTGTAATTGTATACATTCTTAATGGAAATTTGGAAAATGAAATTTGTTAGAAACACCATTTACAATAGCATAAAACAAATACCAAAGTATGAATCCTATGAAAGATGTACAAGATGTCGACTATGAAATCTATAAAATACTGCTGAGAGAAATTAAACACCTAAGTAAGTGGAAAAATATACCACTTTTAAGGGTTGGAAGACTCATTGTTAAGGTATCTAATTTCCACAAACTGTGGAGTTTATAGAGTCTATACACCTTTCAATTCTATAGGTGATAGAGTCCAAATATTTCATGCAATCCCTATCTAAATCTCAGGAGGGATTTTCAAAGAAATTAAGAAGCTGTTTCTAAAATTTATGTAAACAATGTAAAATAAAACAATCTTGAAAAAAAGTTAGAGGATTTACACTGACTTAAAGTTTTACAATAAGGCAATAGTAATCTTGACAGTGTGATATTTGCATGAACATATAAATGGAAAATAATAAAGAATAAAATAATAGAGCCACACATATATAGCCTGTTGACTTTTGAGTAAGGCACCATGTCAATTCAATGGGAAAAGAAAAGTCTTTAACAAATGTTGCTAGAAAAATTGGGTATCTCTATGGGGGAAATAAAGTGAATCTTGACCCTTACCTCCTTATCCTATATACAAATATTAATTCACAATGGATCATAAATCTAAACATAAAATGTGGAACTGTAACTATTTCATAAAAAATACATAGGAGAATATCTCCATGAACTTTGATAGGCCAAAAAACAAAAAAAAACAAAAAAACTTAGCTGGGACACAGAAAGCACTAACCATGTAAGAAAAATTGTTAAATTGCATGTCATCAAAATTAAATATGCCTGCTAATCAATGAAACCATTTATTAAAAACATGAGTAGGTAAACCTGGAAAAATTCTCACTTTACATCTATTTGAAAAGGAACCTGTATCCAGAATATAACATAATTTCTATACATCAACAATATGAAGAGAAACAACAACATTTAAAAATGTGCAAAAGATTTTATCTTTATTGAATGATATATGAATGAGCAATAAAAGCATTAGAAAAGGTTCAACATCATTAATCATCAGAGAACTGAAAATTAAAACCACAATGGGATTCTTTTAACACCCCCTGAAATAACTATTATAAAATAAAAAGAAACCTGAGACTATCAACCATCAGTGAGGAGGTAGAGCAATAGAAATCTCCTAGGTCAGTGCAGGGAATATAAAATGGCACAATTGCTTTGCAAAACAATTTGTCATTTAAAAAGAAAATGTATTATATACCTATGACTAGCCCTAGGAATTGAACCCCAAAAATAAAATAAAAACATATGTCCACAAGAATGTTCACAGTTGCCGTATTCATAATAACTATAAATGGGAAAAACCCGTTATGTCCATCAACAGGGAAATGGTTATACAAACTGCTGTGCAGCCATGCGATGGAAACCGACTCAATAATACAAAGGAACAAAGTACTCACACATGCAAAACATGGTTGAATCTCAAAGATTGGGACATATAAGATATGCCGATATGGTCATTGCAGAATTATTTATAATGATGGCTATTTAAATTGGATACAGCTTAAGTACCTAACAATAAATAATCAGGCAGAACGACTATAGCACAACCATGAGATGGACACTGAATATTTTAAAATGTTAAAATTTAAATGAATGTCAAGTGTTTTTACCATGATGTTAAGTAGGAAAAATATAAAAACTACACATTGTGTGATCTCAGCTATATACAATAGATGGTATGTTTAAGTACAAATTAAGTTTTCTTAAAAAACAAAATGTTTAGAAGTCATAATCTTAGGATGATGGATTTGTGAATAATTTTTTATTTTCTTTTTTTATACTTACTGCTCCATCATTTTTATAGTGAGAAAAAAAATATGTAACTTTGCTAACAATTGTCACTTCAATAAATTTTAATTAAAAGAAAAGAGAATAAAAATGTGGGAAAGAAATTTTAGGACTGAACAAAAACTTCATTATAAGGGCAATTGGGTAAGTTGCTCCAACAAAAAGGTACTATTGAGACAGTAAAGCTAAGCATCTGATCAAATAAAATATAATAAACCTGGGCATGTGGGAACAACACTTACTACCAATGCTCCGCTTGATGGAAATCTGTGTTCTTCCAGTTTACACAAAAATGTAACTCTAAAACTTTGAGGTGGATGTTCAACATGTAAAATATTGATGAGGCATAAGGAGGGGGAGCACAGAAAGAGAAAGAGGAAAAAGGCACCGTGAAAACATCACAGGCCACAATGGAGAAAGACCAGAAAAAGAGAAGGGAAGGAAAGAGGTGGAGAGAGCTCCCGGGATTGAGGATAAAAATTGGGGTGGGGGGGTAGGGAGGGGGGAGGCATATTTTGTCCACCCAGAATCAGGAAAACGGAAGTAAAGTTTCTCAATGAACCCTGAGGCCTGAATACTCTTGTTCTTCCGGCTTCTCCCACCTCAGCATCCAGTCTCCAGTCCAGCCAGGAGGAGCTCACACCCACACCTTTCTGACACATCAGCACATCTGCGCTAGCATGTCTGTCCCTGGGCACTCAAGGCAGCCAAACTAGAAGTCTTTTTTGGAAGTCTGTTTGGCACAGGCATGTGGTACCTCACGCGCTTCCAGAATCTGGAATTCAGGGACCGCTTGTTGGCCACGTGGTCTTCTCTCCACTTGATGGTGCCCTGCATGTCCACGAGGTGCCGGAGGGAATCTTGAAGCTCCCCAAACTGCAGCCCGCCTGCCTTGCTCAGAGCCTGCATTTCAATTAGAATCACCTTGGACTCATTCTGGATGAGGGCGCTGTGCAATGCGATCTCCTGCTCGTAGGCAAATTCCTCGCTGTGTACCATCTGAGGAGTCAGGATAAAAATGTGCCGCCGACTCTTGCGGATGTTGGTTTCCACCGCCGTGGCTGCATCTAGCAATAAGAAGACATGGAGATTCCCTGTTGATGCGTGTGCGAGTCTAATCCTTTGATCATCAATGTTCCAAACTTTTTGAAAAATGTGAGTGTTATAATCTGGTGGGAGGATTCTTTCCCTCACTGAAACAGTCCTCCAAGCTGAATGAAAATGTATAGGTGTGAATTCAGGGTCATTCACTGCATATTATCTTTTTAAGATACTAGCTGCCATGTTGTAACAGGGCTTAGAATTTTAACACCCACGTTAAAGAGTACAAATTCAGGAACCCCTGCTCTTCTGAACTGACTAAAGTCTCCAGGAAGTCCTAGATCCAATTCATCCCCTAATAATCTCTGACTTAGAAGCTGATTTGATCCAGACTAGAACAATCTTAAGGAAGTTGGATCCTCTTAGCAAGTCTATGCGTATGAAGCACTGGCTCCATGGTGATTTCAATTAACTCCTGGATGGATTTAGAAAGAACATGTGAAACACCCAGTTTTCACTGCAAGGAGGAGACGGCACAATTAGGAAACCCAACCATGAACAGAACAACTCAAGATGTTCTTAGAGAGTGGTGGCTAAAAGACTGCCAATTTCCGTAGTTGGAAATAAGGAACTGAACGTTAAATAGTGCCAGATAGAGACCTGTGTCAATCAGGATCCTAACGGAACACTTGGCACACTTAAAAGGGCTGGCAGAAGAGGGTTTCATGAAAAGACAGTCTGTATAGATGTGGACAGAGACAAGAGAAATCAACAAGAGATGGTATAGACCCCCATAGCTGGTAGTATCAGAGAGCCATTATACCCTCCAGTATGCAGGGGAGGAAGCAGTTATAGCAACCAAGGAGCTGCCATAACTCCTTGGTTATGGTTGTCTATGGCAACCAAAGTCCTGAGGAAGACCAGCTGACAGGATCCCTGCTCCAGGACAGAGGAGCACAGCTCCCCTGGCAACCCCACCCAGAACGGGCAGGGATGTGCTCCCCGCAAAAAAATTCCTACCAGTGCCTCTCATTGGCCAAACTCTGTATGGAACAGAGAGCAAGGGAGTGATAGACTCCACAATGATCAGCTACCCAGGGCCACTGGATGGAGAGGAGATTGCAGAGTAGATCTAAACAAGCAAATGGAATGTAACTAACATGGGAAGAAATACATTGCATTGGTCAGTCATAAACTTTTTCTAAGGGAAGAGAATGAAGTTTGATGTTGTTTTGTTGGATTGATTATATTTGGGTTGAGGTAAGGTCAGAGGACATACTTGAGGGAGGGGAAGTGGGAAACCTTTCAAATGCAAAACAGCCCCATAAAGGCAACACCAACTTGAGCATCTGTGAGCTAGCATTCTCATTTGGCTGGGGAGAGGTGTAACTAGAAATGAGGCAGATGTACCTGAGAAAGAAATGAAGAGATTGCGGCCAGATGTAGCCCAGGATGTGACATCATGAACAGCTGGAGTCCCTATCATGTAACATGAAAAGGGGATTTGAGTGTCACAATTCATTACTCAACTTTCACAGGTAGCCAATGGGGGAAGCTGCGAGCAGAAGAAACCCTCGAGAGAAGACTTGAATTACATTTTCCTGAACTGTACACTTTACAAGTCTCCCAAGTCATTACTTTAACATTATCCAAATATTTACTCCCAAGTCATTACATTAACATTATCCAAATATTCCAGAATAAATCAAATGTGCCTTTCGTGAGTACCCTTAAGTCTATAGGCACGTGAACTCCTCTTTTCAGTAGGAATGCCGGTTTAAATTCAGTCTACTAAACATTAACTTCATTGGACTTACACTCATGATGACCCTGCCTCACCCACATTCCAAACGCTCTCTGGTTTCTGTAGAATTCGAGAAGGGTAAGGAGGGTCCATCGGCATGTGACACAAATATGAAAGAAGGAGAAGAATGACTGCTGAAATGCTGGAATTGTGGCACACCTTTCCAAAGTGCATGAAATCAACCAGGAATATTAAGAAACAGAAGGTACAGTTTTACTTGTTCTTGTGAGAACACCGATTTGCAAGTTTCACCAATATAAGGGAAATCACACGACTCTCTGAGTTTCAATATTTTAGCCAATGCCTCTGGCTGTTACAACAAAATTCTTTGGTTTTTAAGTCTTCCTTCCAATCGTCAGGAGAAATTGAGAGATGCTGAATAATTGTAGTGGGGGACAGGGGAAGTAAAGTAGCGGCAGTGTCCTGCTAAATCCACATAGCCAGGACGCCTTACTCTGTCTTCACATCACTGACACTACCGTGAAGACCTCACAGTCAGGGTGGCAATGAGGACAGGAGGAGCAGAGAACAAGTATGTCCTTCTCCTGGACTATATTTATCAGCTGTGCTTTCCAGGCCTGGAATAAGGATCGCAATTTCTTAGCAGAGATAAAGACCACCTATCTCTTATCCTTCTCACGAAGTAAATTACTGTACCTGATGTATGTTGATAATATTACCTTCTCCAGGGAGCAGATCTCGCCCATAAATGAATAAGTTGTAGCCACATTTATTTTCAAGAACATCAGGCAGAATCTGGTGAACAAAATATTCTACAGAACTGGTCACCTCCGGACAATCTTTCTGGTTCCGTGGATAGATAACATAAGCGTCATAGACCTTTCCATCTGAAAATGAGAGCAAGAAGTGCAAGTTTGTCACTTGGTTCTAAAAAATTCTCATATGACTCTTAGTAGACATTCATCATTGCGTTTTATGGTTGTTGGTGAATGTATGCCACCCACCAAAACATTCTAGCATCTAGAGATGACAACAGCCTATTGCCATAAAATGTCATCAGGAAATCCATCTTAATCCCAAAGTCCTCCTTTTTACTGTCCCAGACAGAATGATGGAGAACAGGCAAGAGTCTGTCTAGCTTAGTTCCAGCCAGATTGTCAAGTTTCATCAGTGATGTATTAATAATTATATATAGTCTTGATTAAGGCACACTGTGCTGGGCAGATCTCAATTTCATCTTTTGTTTTTCCCATATTTCCCCTAGGGAGGTGGCAATGCTAAAGGCTAATCGTGGCAAGGAGGTAAAATTTCTTAAGGGATCTGAATTTCTCACAAACCCAAAAATTAGCCCTAGTTGAATGTACCACATGGAAAATCTAAAGTGAAAGAATAGTATTCATATTTAGCAGGCAAAACTGTCTTTTTTCCTGTGTTTAATTAAGTGCACAGTTAAGACTCTTTATGGAACAGGTTTTGGGGTAAAATACACCTTTTTTTCTGATGCACCTGCCTAACCTCTTCACATTGAGAAAACAGGAACTATTTTGTTAATGTTTTGAATTTCATCAAGTTTTACCAACACACCTTTTCCCAAATGTGTAAACCTTTCTGGGCTTGGGGCAGTCTGTTATTGGGGCTTTAGTAGGAACAGCAATCATATTAGGGAGGAAATTTGAGCTGATGAGGTGAATCTCGGCACCACGAAGAGTGACCAGGCAAGATGGGGAATGGCCTGAGTGGACTCAAACAGATTCCATGGTCATGTGTCGGCAAGCAAAAGGGAATCTGGCTTCCATAGCACAGCTAGTAAAAGATCAATAGACGAATAACCAACAGCTATGGCAGGACCTCTTCTTTTGAAGAACAACTTGAAACTGGCCACTTACCATTCCTAGTTTTGTAAGGTCTAGCTATGTCTCTCCAGAGCAGAACAACCTCAATCCAGAACACTTTCAGCATTATCATCAGGACACTGATTAGCAATAGCAGAATGCCAAATCCTGCAAGTGTGTAGTAGGTGCTTTGATGATCAACTATTCAAAAGATAGGGGGAGGACAGAAATCATTATTATGATGAGAACAAAGTAAAATAAGCAAACACAGGGATGCTGGCCTCCACTGCGGATACCAGAGATTAGTACACAAGACGCCTACTTAGAATTGGCAAGGCTGCACTAAGAATCAGTAAATGACCATTTATTGAGCCACTTCTCTGTGCAAGGCACTGGGCTGTTCTATTCTAGGGGATTCTCAAAGCATATGAGGCATAGAGACATACGTAAACTTAACTAAGATAGGAGGGAAACTCATGATTTTAGCCAGAGGTTTTTAAAAGGAGTACTCACTCATTGCTGGCTGGGACAATGAGGGCTTCCAGTAAGAGAAGGCCCCTGAAAAACTCACATTCAGATTGAAAATCGCATCCAAATAGGAAATGTACTACTACTGACGTGAGAGGATGCTGTGAGGGCAGAAATAGAGGGAGTGTGTTTTCTGGGGACCTTGAGTAATCCAATTTTAGGAATTAGTGGAAGATACGATAAGAAAAGTAGGCCAGGGGTCAGCTTCTGGCCAGAATCAAGGCTCCAGCTGAAGCATTTAGCTTTCCTTCTGAAGGTCAGGGGAGCCATCAAAGAGTGATGATAACAATGAAAGTGGTTTTTAAGCAAGATTAATCTGACGGCAGTAGAAGGTTTGTTTTTGTGGAAAGAGACTTGGCGTAGAACGGACGGGAAGTTTCTGTAGTACTTGGGGTGAGAAATGAGGGTTCAAACTCACATTTAATGATGAGAAAGGAGTGGACAAGCCTGGTGTTAGGGGCATTCATAGCCCTTAGGGACTTATCACATCTGGGGTTGAGATAGAAAAGTAGAGAAGAAACAATAGCCATTTAAGCCTCAAGCAGCGGTTCTCAACCTGTGGGTCGTGACCCCTTTGGGGGTCGAACGACCCTTTCACAGGGGTCGCCTAAGACCATCAGAAAACAAAAAGATATTTATGTTATGATTCATAACAGTAGCAAAATTACAGTTATAGAGTAGCAACGAAAATAATTTTATGGTTGGAGGTCACCACAACATGAGGAACTGTATTAAGGGGTCGTGGCATTAGGAAGGTTGAGAACCGCTGCTCTAAAGCATATCTGATGGAGAAGTCACACTGCTAGGTCCTAGGTCGCACACATACCCACTACTTCTCTTATGCTGAACATTACTAAGCCATCACTGAACTTTATCCTGTACTCACTGCTACGTAATACACATGCAAGATGGTGCCCATTTTCAAGGGTTTGCAACAGGTATGTACAAGTTGAACGTAAGAACTGTGCTTATTAATAGTATTTGTGGCTGTTTTACATTTACTTCCCCCTTTAGAACTGCTAACTAACATATCTTATAAACATTCCCACTTATTGATGAACATGAGAAGAATCTCAAATGAGAATTGCTTATATAGGTCTCTCTTGATTTTCATCTCAAGGCTCAAAGCATGGGCTCCCCATTTTGACCTGGATGATCATGGGCCCATATTCAAACTTTCTCTCAATTGCCCATCAGCTCCCTGAGTATGCAGCTTTGTGAGATTAAGAATGGCCAAGGCAAAGTGACTCAAAGCTGGGGGAAACTGAAAATTGGCAGAGAGTTTTTGTTTTTAAAATGCAAGACCATGCTGCAATTTTTTTTTCTATGTCCTCACTGCCATCAGTTTACATGCTAGATTTTCCCTAAGTAAAATATTTCAGCAGGATTCCTCTGCAGTTGACTTTTCCTAAAACTTTTGTGATGCATGCCAGGAATCTATACTTCTTGTGGAGGTTATTATGGATATGGCTGGCTGTTTTCAACTGAAGGAATGAAGTTCATCCACAACATTAAAGGAAGTTAAAGTTCAATATCTTCCTAAGTGTTAATGGCTTTTGAAATGTATAAATCATTCTTTAATATGATGACTTAACACTAAATATTTTCTGTAAGTGCTTATAAACAGGAAAATACCACCTGGGCTTGAATCTTTGCTCTATAACTCTAGTACTTGGCAAATTATTCAACTTCCCTTTGCCTCAAATTTCTCATCTGTAAAATTAGATGACAGTAGCAATCTCTCATGGAGTATTGATTCAAAGAGAGAGAGAAAGAGAGAGGGAGAGAGAAATTAAGTGGAAAGTACTACTTAGGTCCTAGTACACAGGAAACAATGAAAAAAAGTGTAATATTATTATTATGAGTATCAACTATTTATTTATTTAATAATATGAGGATATAGGCTTTTTAAGTTGTTTTTAAAATTCAAGACCACGCTGCAATTTCTTTTATTCTATGATTAGAAATAAAGGAATTCATGGTGACAATTTGACAACAGTAGTAACAATTTTGCTTAATTTACACAGTTGTTGAAACAGAGTATAACCATGTTGATTTGCAGAAAAACAGGTGAAAGGTAACAAATACAAATAAACTAGAAGGAACAAAACCACGAAGTACATATAACATAAAAAACAACTCCAATCCAGAGGTAACCAGAGAACATTCCTAAAATGACAATGTGAGCAACCTATGGGGACAAGATTTTCTTACTAGAATGAGCAGTAATTAAATACTTCACCTTTGCATCCACTTCACCAGCCTCACTAACAAAATGTGTGGGTTGATTTGTGTGTGTGTGTGTGTTTTATGACAAAAAAATACATTAGAAAAGGGAACATGTGTATAACATGTTATAGAAGGTAACAAAAGAACGTATTCACAGTTCGCTGTTGGTGTGTTTTCTTTCACATACCGTGAGACAAAGAGAGCTAATGAAGTTAGAAAGCAGGACAACCAAGGAAGCAGTTGGGTGTTGAAGAGGAACCAAAAGGAAGAGTAGAGGGTGAGAAGGAAGAGGCAGCGGAGGAGGAGGAAGTAAAGCAGCAAAGGGGCAGCCAGACCAACAGAAACATTATGAGAAGACCTCACTGTAGATGGTTAGTGTTTTCAAGAAGCGAAGCCCATTTTATGAGATGGGCCACTTCCGTCGTCTTGATGGATCGCCCTGGAACCACACTGCAGTACCTTGTTCTCTAAGAAAATGGTTTCAGCGTTACAGCTGATACCGCACACTCCTTACTTGGCTTTTTCCTCAGTCTTACAGTGTGTCTTCTCAAGCCATGCAAATTCAGGGCCAGACAGTCGTACCTCAGCGACAAATCTTCTTCTTTTACATCAGCTATTCTTAAGACCATGCTTAGACAAGTCAGATCATTGCTAGAACGAAGAAGGCAACTCGTTACTTGGAATGCTTACTTTGTAGTTGCAATTGTGTGGGAGGGGAAGTGGGTGCTTTAACTTCAATAGGAAAATACCTTTCATTTTGCTGGTGCTCCTCTTGAATTCTTACTTCACTAAAGTTGTTAATTTTGGTTCTGTTAACCTCCCACAGGACGGCAGCTGTAAACTGAACGCCTTTCCCAAAGCAAGCAGAGCAAGTTAAGTTTGCTGGTTTGCCTAGACGAGAAGTAAAGACATTCATCAATAAAATCAAATTCTGCAAATGGCATTTAATTTGATGTAAAAAAAATTCATTGGTCACCTAGTACGTGCCATGAATTGATTTCCAGTCCCCTTCCTGATCTTTAGCACCTTCACCTTTCTATGCCTTCCGTTTGCCTCCTCCCCTCCCCCACGATCTTCATTTCATTAACAATTCCAGTTGAAGCTCAGCTCCCCAACTCCTCTCATCCCCAGTGAAAAGTAAAGACACAAATGACTCTAGCTTCACCAATCCCACATTATAATATATAGGATTTCTCTTTACCATAAGTTGGAATTTCATTTTTAACAGCTCTGCTGCACACTTCTCTCCTCCTTCCAAATTCTCGTCACCTCTCTATAAACTGCCTTAGTAGGTAAAGCATTTTCTCTGACCCAGCTACAATCCTGATATTTAATGATCCATCAAGAACCCTCTCCATCCCAACTCCCTTAACTCCAGACTCCCTCCTTTTACAACTGAAAGCACAGGGCTGCCTTCCTGCCTTGGGTCATGCATTCAGCCATCCTTTTGCGCTCTTGGTTCCTGTGTCTAGAATTAGGCAACTGAAGAGGGATGAGGGGCTCAGTGTCTCTGGGAAGGGGACAAAGATATAAATAACCAATTAGAGCACAAGGTCTTCTCGTGTTCTAGCAGAAAGATTGATGAAGTGACATGGGAATACAGGGGAAGAAATCACTGCAGGGAACAGGGGTGTTCACACTGCACATGTAAATGGTGGCCCTGGACTCCATAAAAAGGAGGCTCTGATCATGCTCTCCATCAGGGAAGGGGGTGGCATGAGGGGATCTCAGAGAAGAGGTGATATTTGAGCTTAGTTATTGGGAGGTGACAGGGAGGAACACCATGGACAAGGGCAGGGAAGAATGTGGAAATGCTGCTTATCAACGTAACAGCTGTGAAGCAGTCAGTGCTGTGGGGACATGGGGTATGTGGAGTTAATGGCTGCAGATGAGCCCGGAAGAAGGTGAAGACCAGGTGAGGGGACATTCTACGTGCTAAGAACTTTGAATTGTATCCCATCTCTAGTGGGGAACCAGGAAAGGCAGAGATGGACAGAGTCAGAAAGTCTGAGTTCTCATCCTTCCATCATTGATTATCCACAACCTGGGACATGTCATTGCTCCTATCTGAGTGTAAGTATCTACAAGGGTAAAGTGGGAACAATTTCTAGATAGAAGTGACAATGGCACATGTGAAGGTGCCATGAGTTACAAAGTGCAATACAAATGTAAATGCTGCATATTGCTGTGACCGCGTATTCCTAACATTAGCAGGTGCCAGGGCTGGTGGGTCCACCCATGACATCTCATTTAATCCTCAAGACCCACTATGTTAATTGCATGGCTCCCACTTGGGGAATTCAGATCAGGGGTCAGGGGGGGAGGATTTTACAGGCAACAGTTACAGCACTCTTAAAGTTGTCTTACCGATTTCCACGTCCTTTGTTTCATTTTGTGGAGGGGCTCTAATTACTGGAAATATAGAAAAGCCCTCCTCATCTTAAATCAAAGACAAAAAGATATAAGTATTAGAAGAGCTTTTGGATGATGATCAATATAAAGCTTGTATTTTCATATTTCTATTCTATTTCTATTCATAGCAATGTTTTTCAAATTTTTCTGGCAATGACAATGGCAACAAATATACACAAATGAAACAAAAATACATTCAAGCAATGCTTTCTCTTACTACCTATGATGCTCTTTGATACCTTCTATTTTTTTTATCTCATTAAACAAATACTAGTCTAACCCATTAAATTAATTGTATCACCAAACAATTGTTAGAAAACCACAGGAAAGATGAGTTCAAAAGACCCATGAGGATAATAAACACATAAGTTCACACATCTACTCACAGCTTTCCACCATTGTGGCCCATCCTACTAGGAAATTCTAATTCCCGGTGGCCCTGATGCCTAGAGATCATGAAAAGGGGGTGTCTGGAGCACGGCTGCATTTCTACACCCCTTGGTTCTCAGCATGGTGTGATTAAGAACCAATGCGGGTTTTGATGTGAATCAGTGAGAGGCACTGATAGAAATGTGGTCTGGTGATGTTCATTCTATAGCAGTGGAGCTTTGAAAAACTCCAAACAAAACTTTTCCCCACTACCGCTTTGCCTACTTAGGTCCTACTTCGTCTACAGCCATAGCTCAAGCTAGGCTAAGGAGACACATCTTTGTAGATTCCATACTCTTGATTGTGAGCTCTTCCCCACAAACAGGCTTTTATGGAATTGAAAGTATATTTAAAAAAAAAATTAGAATTAAGTGACCTACTTGAGGCTACTGATGAAGTTGAAAACATTGCAAACCAGGATTGAAAGCCGCTCAACAATATCTGTACATATTTATAAAGCTTCTCATTCAACTACTAGTCCAGTGATTTATATTAAAAGTTATTTTTTTTTCTATTTATAGAGCCTCTGACAACAAATTGGGAAAAGGAAAGTTAACCTTGCTTTCCAAATAGTTGCATTGCCATTCAAAAAAGCTAATTAAGTTAACATTCAGATCACAGGATCTTTGACAAATTAAGTCAAAAAGGAGAACAGATGTGGCTTTGAATTAGTAGCGTAATCTCCCTCTGAAATTTCTTAAATCTTGATAGTGTATTTAGAAAATTCTTTGCATCATGGTAGAGACTGTGCAAATTAGATTAAGCAGGAGGAAGTATCAGGCAGGAGGGTGAAGCACAGAAAAATCAACAAGAAGGGCCCCATCCCTCCCACGCGATCTGTTGTCAAATATTGTATTTTGTTACATTCAGTAGCTTACCTTGAATTTCTAATGATCTGGTGGCCGTCACAATGTAACTGACTCCATTTTCATTGTGCATAAATTTGCATGTATAATCACCCGTGTCCTTGCTAGTTGCATTGTCAATCAGCAAATATGTCCCATGTGTATAATACCTTGATCCTTGAAGAGCTGTACAATTCTGAAATGAAAAATGCCATACCACTTTCAGTAATTCTTTACTTGCATCTACTTTCATTGTGTATCTTCATCTGTTTCCCCCCAAATTTCCTTTTACCTTAAACCACTCAACAGGTGCTGTCCAATTGTAGAGACTAATGGTAGGACAATATATTTTACAACTTTTTGATGATTTAAATGATGTTGAATATATCAGGTCATCCGGAATATTGCAATCTGGTTGTTTCTTATATATGGTGACATTCACGTATCCAATCTTAATGAATTTCGGACTATTAAAATAAATCAAACAAGTTTTAAAAATTACTTAGGATTATGAAATAACTTCATCCAAATCTACCTTTTACTCATTCTTTTTCTTCTTAAAACAATTGATATATAGTGGTTCTTTTCTTTTTAAAAAAAATCATTAAAATCTAGGGCTTTAAATACTATTGGGTTGTCAGAAAAGTCATGACGTATTTTTTCTATGTTTTTCATTGCCAAAATGTGTCAAGACTTTTCTGACAACCCAATATTGTGTCACATTTGAGATAAAACATAATCCTTAAGGCAGCCCTAAAGCTGTCTCCCTCAACATTATTTTATACACTGTATCTCCTGTAATGCCAAGAGCCCGATAAAATAAAGATAACTAGTATTTATTGGTAGTTCACTATGCATCATTCATCATGGTAAGATTACCTTATTTTAGTCTCATAATAATGTTTTGAACTGGGTTATATTATCATATATATTTTACAGATGAGGAAATTGAGGGACAGAGAAGTGACATGCTAACTGGACAGAGAAGGGACAGCTAACTGGTGAGCCTAAATGTAATACTGAAATTTGTCTGACCTCAGAACCTAGGCACATAACAACACACATCTTGCCTTTTTTTTTCTTTCTTTCTATCTTTCTTTTTAAATTTAATTTAATTTTTTTATTAGTTTCAGGTGTACAAAACAATGCAATAGTTATCCTTTTCACCCCTCATACATCTTGCCTTTTAATGCAGTTTGTCTGACATTTTGTATGTACCAAATACTGGCACAAAGTCAAAACATTTAACAGTTTGTATGTAGAGTAAGTAATTTGTAGGCACACAACCTCACATAACCTCTTTAGCTTATCTCTCAGGTGTAAGGCACTGGTACCTGTCCCCTTTGCCACCACCATAGGCCTCCCAAATGCCCATCGCCTAGGTTACTGTTTTTTGTGCTGGTTTGTTCTCACTTCCAGCCAAAATTGAGCGCGTGGTCTCAGTTCTGTTAGTCACTAGGAAAGCTAGGCCTTTTCTTACCGGGCTAAAAATTAATCCCTGCAGTTATCCATCCAAATAGTTAGCTCATAATCATAAACCTAAACCCCAACCTGACGGTGTTCCTATAAGCACTGTTTCATTCAAATCATTTTGCAAATCCAACGGTTCCAGAAAAGACTAGAAAAGGAAGACAGAAAGTGAGGGCAGCTCAGTCTACCAACTTTTAAAGAAAAGAGAGCAAGCCCAAAGATGATAGTGGCTTCCTGGATAGTACCTTCTGACAATGCAAGTATAAATTCCAGAATCTTCAATGTTGGCTGGGAGAAGCTTAAGATGTTTCCCAGAGGCAAATACACGATTTTCTTTCTGGGTGGTAATACTTTTGTTGGTTTTTGAGTAATACCAGTCCACAGTGTATCTAGGTTGTGCTTGTCTAGGACATTTCACAATTAAAGCCTCATTTTCCAGGCCCCACGATGGTTTGTCTGAAAAAAAAAAAAATATATATATATATATATATATATGAATATGATCCTGGAAGGACCATCTGAAAAGATTACAATTCCTATATTCTAGGATATTCCCTTCTAGGATTAAATTGAGAAAGGGGCCATACTTTGTGATACTTTACCTGAGAAAGAATAAGCAAATGATTAAGATTTTTTTATGAAATGTTCTAATGGGTACCACAGATGAATGAATTAATTTGGAGCTAAATCTCCCAAACTGCTCCAGTGGAAAAGCAGCCATGTCTATCCACACAAAATACATTGTCAATCAACAAATGCTTACAATACTTCTATGCGCAGGCACCAAGTTAAATTTTGACATATTTGAATATGTAAAACTAAAATTATGATCGTTTGTTATGCAGAATTTGTCCTGATAGATGGGTGATGAAGAATGAGTACAGAGCATAAATGACTTTTCCAGGTTATGATTCAACCGGAATAAATGAAAGCAAGCAGTTTAAAATAAGGCAGGAGTTCTGGGAATTACTTAAACATTTTTTAAATTATAGTTGAAAAGCAATACTCACTAAGCGTAGCTACTGTGGAAATTTTGAGAAGTGTTAGAACTGCCAAGACCCAAAGTCTCATTCTCAGCTTGTCAGTCAAACAAGTGTTGGTAACCATTGAGATTATTCAAGTTGAATCTGTGACATGTGATAGTGAAGGTCCCCTAGAGGAAGCTGTTGGTGCTCCTGAAGATTTACCGTTGGAAAGAGCTGTCAGTCTCTCTCACCTGAAAAAGAAATCACAAGCAAAATATTTACAGCCATGAATTTTACTTGCTTAATACCCCCCAGGAGAATTAATCAATCAACAGGTGTTTATTATGTATAAATATTTATAACAGCAGGGCTTCAGGTACGCATCATTGTATTTATTCCTACTGAAACTTGGGGCCATGTCGGCCTGACCATGGTCATGTTATTTCATCGTCTTATGACAGTTGACTGAAAGAAGCTAAGAAGAAAGAAAACTAGTTTCTAGTTTTGAAAAAATTAAAACCATAAAATTCAACAGACCCTAGAGAATATAATATTATATAATATTATAAACGCTAACATGAAAGCACAGACATCTACACAGGTTGTGGTGGCTGTGTGCACAAATGTGACCCAGACGCTGGCACACACGCAAATAGTCCTCAAAAAGCCACCAAGGAATAGGAAACTGATGGGTAAATCATTAATCAAATAATCACCCTAGACACTGCAACAAAACCTCAAACTGTGTCCCTGCCTCAGCTTTCCCCCAAGACTTACCAAAGGCTTTCTAAAAAGATTTGAACATCCATGGAAAAGGATTACCTACTTTTCCTTTTTTACTTTCAGCAAAAGAATCACTTAACTACATTTTTTTTTCTTAAAAAAGTCAGGTGAGGGGTGGAGCCAATACAGAAATCGACAAACGTAAGAAGAAACACAACAACCCTTAATCTATTTCAAGAAAGCATGTTTCCTCGAAACATGAATTGTTGATACCTTTTTTATTACAGTCTGGAAACATTATTACAGACTTTAGATAAGTAATTGATGCTTACCCAAACTGAGGCACAGAATGCAATGAGCTGCCAGCCAATGACAGAGCCCAGAACAGCTTCCAGCTCTGTCGCTCCTTTCTGGCAGACTCCTCACATACAAGCACCCTCTTTTATTTTAGAGGGGAGACGCTCAAGGACATCCTACAAGTTATTGCTCCACCCACCCTGAAATTTGACTTTTTGTCAAAATTCATGACTTGTTTAAAAATGCCAGTACAGAATGTACCAAGAATTCTTAACCTTGATATATAAATATTTAAACTCAGGAACAACATTGAATAATCCCTTCAGAGGAAGTAATCAAATTACCTCCCTTTATTTTAGCATCTTCTCAAACTGAATGATGGTTGTTGTTTTTCACCCTGATATTATTACCCTTTGGTTCTAATTAATCCTGAAACCTTGGGGCTTTTAAATCACTCTTCCAGACATTCTTTGACACTTCGTCTGGCCGACATTAGCTGGCCAAGCTCAGCCAGTCTTGGCAGATTTGGTGCAGAGGGTTTCAAAAGCAAACTGTGTAGATAAACAATGAGAAGTAAGCAAGATTTGCAGGGGGGCCTGGCGATGTTTTGTTTGTGGTTCAGAATGTTACCCAGCCTCATTCACAAACAGATTCCAGCTCTCAGACGTAAGTCCATGCTGAGCTTTCAGTCTAGATGGAAGAAGAAAGTTTTTCTAAGGAGTTCAGAGAAATACAGGGAGGCTGTGTGTACAAAGGCTACCTCAAGGGGAGTGACAAGAAGGCCATAACCCTCAACTCTTGCAATTAACCCTCAAGCATACGTTAGTTGCAAAATCTGGTTTTAGCTACTCATTGCTGGTATGACTGACTCTATTATGAGTAATTCAACATAATTTTGAAACTCAGCACATCCCAGAAGGATTCAGGGACTAATTCCAGATGAATATGATGATGATGATAATAATCATAATAATAGTAACAATAATAATGACTAAGCTTTCTCTAGAACTCTGTGCCAGATATAGCTCTAAGTGACTAACATGTATTAACTCTATTCTCCCAGCCACCCAGTGAGGCAGATGCTATTATTATTATCCCTGTTTTACAGGTAAAGGCACTGAGACACAGACAGGTTAAGCAACTTGTCCAAGTCACATACTGCTGAGAGGTAGAGCTGGAATTTGAACCCAGACAGGCTGCGTCCAAAGGCAGGATTCCTAATCACTGAGTCATAATGCCACCAGGTGAGGAAGATTAAGAGAGGTCATGCTGCCCATACCCAGGAGGCACCATGAAGATGGGAAGGGCACGGAGCTGCTGTTCATGGGCAGTCACTGTTCCCATCACAAGCCAGCAGCTCATCAGAGTGCCAGGGGCTCCGTCGGTGCTCAGAAGAGCTGCTGTGGTCCCACCCTGGATTCCAGCACTGGGGAGGGAGGGTGAAACATCTATGATATACCTAAATATATGTACCTGCATCTCAAAGGAAATACAATGAAACGCTAACAGTAGTCACCCTGGATGTGAAATTATAGATAATTAAATTTTTCCTTTTAAGAGAGAGAGATAGAGAGAGAGAATGTGCTATAAAAGAAGAGTTCTAGGTGGGATTTTGGAGTTTACTACAGTATCTCCTCGCCAACCCCACCCCACCTCTAACTGTGGCTGGCAGGCTGCCCCATCCGCGTGGGCTTGAATCAGATTTTGGACACTGGTCATGTGCTCTGACAGAATAGAGACAGTCTTGATACCATTTGGGAATTCACCAGGAAATGTTTGCCATAAATTCAAGGAGTTAGGTCAGAGTCTTGCTATTCTTCGCTTAGTTGTCAAAGTTCTTAACAAGGTCATATGAGTTGCAGCACTGATACCACAGAATCGGCCGTGCTTGGAACAGCAAGCTCCACACAACCTTTGCCCAATCAAATAATATGAACTTGAATGTCTTATACTTGAATGTGAACTTATATTTTGTATCCTAAAATATCTTTTTAAACATTTTATTAAAAGTAAGCATGTATTCATTAAATTTGGCCACATTTACATTGGTTTCCTAGTTTTAAATAATGTTTCTGAGTTAAAAATAAGGTTTCCAGTAGAATTTTGATATAATAACCATGAAATCTGACAGACGCATTTAATAAAGTCTAACTGTTGGTATGAAATAATTCTGTCATCCATTCAACAGTTAAGTCCTGTCATCCAAAGTACCATACTATATGGTACTTATCATCAACACCTTTCCAATTTTACAAATGAAAATAAAAACCCAAGGATGAGGTTGGTTAAATAATCTGACCAGTCTCAACCCATTGTGGCTGGGATTGAAACCAGATTTGTTGAACCTCAAAGCCAAAGCATTTTTTTTTTTTTTAGTATCAACTTAAAAGGTGGGAGATTGGAACACAAAAGCTTTCCTTCTTACAACAATTGCAACTAGGTTATTTAACAGAGTAAACACGTCTAATTTCTCTTGAGCCTCTTTGTTATAAAGAACTAAACCATTTTGGCTTCTAACTATAATACTATGACATCATCCAGTGCAAAAATACAGTCATTTATAGCAACTTAACAAGACAAAACGTGAAAGGCAAGGGATTCTAATAAATAAATAAAAGAGAGATTTGGGGCAGCCATGAATTTCAGAAACCCAGTGTCCGCTTGTTTCTCTGACAGATACCCTCTTTTTAAAATTTTCCAGAATTACCCTTCATTTCCAGTATTAATCTAATTTGAGGGTTACAGTTTTGAAATCTTGCATGTTTCTATTTATAATCTAATTTGCAGACATTTTCACTAAAAAAATCAAACAAAAAAACCCGTTTATTGCTAGAGAAACAGCTAGCTGCATGCAGTTGGAATGGAGTGTCCAAATATTTCGTAACTTTGATGATATCTTGCGAGGCTTATTTATTTGTCTTGACTGGTGTCATAGATAAATAATAATAAAATAACAACAACAATATCTTACCCTCCAGAGTTGGCCTAGTCTTACTGTAAATCATATCAAAAACCAGGAAATTTCTGTTGTTAAGCTTACATGACTTAAGTGAGTGGCTCAGGTTCTCACTCAATAATTCTCACAAGAATAAGAGGAAATGTTTCCCACATTTCATCAGAGAGCATTTTAGATGCCACTTCTAGTCTGTTTGTCCTGATGATATGTTTATAGAGCCTGAGACGACATATGAGGCAGACCCTATATGTGACATCAGGTGGACTGGCCTGTGTCCCGGGACAAGTCTCTGGGCCCAGCTCCATTCCCTGTGTCACCTTGGGCAAAAAAGCACTTATTTATGTATTTATTTATTCATATTTTTTTTTAAGATTTGATTGGGGAGTTGGGGGAGGGGAACAGTATTGGGGAATCGGGAAAGGGGAACAGACAAGTTGTTGTCCTTTTTGTTCTTCAGTCTAGTTGTGGAGGACATTGCTTCACTGGCCCATGTTGGTATTATGATCATTGCACTCTTCCCAGGTGAGGCAGTCACTCGCCAGCCATTGGACAGCTGTCCACGGCAGCTCACGGCAGCTGCCAAGCAGCCCCACTGCAGTCTAGGCCATCGTCACGACTCACAGCAGCCCAGCTGTTGTTCACCATCTTAGCTGTAGAGGACACAGCGCCACTGGCCCTTATGTGGGATGCGAACTGGGGCCCTGCTGCTCAGAGCTGACGTCCCAAGCCAACTCTTAACGAATGCGCCACTCGGCTGGCCCAAAACACTTATTTTTTTATTCTTCTTTGCCATACTCCAAACTCTAGAGGGTCTCAAAGCTCAGCTCTCTCCCTTCATCTTCCTTTTGGCTGTACCCAATTTTTCCCTTCAAAAACTAGAAGAAACTGGTATATATTCAAGGACAAACTGGAGTGAACGAAGTCTTCATATTTCCAGAACTAAACTCCTGATCTCCTCCAACCCTCCTCCCCTCCCTTACTCCTAAGAAATGCAGCTTCCTCCCCTCACCCCACCTAGGCTTCCTTATCTCAATGATGGCAACTCCATCATTCCAATTGCTCAAGTCAAAACTCTCCATACAAGACTGACTCTTCTCTTGGACCAGCTGAGTGGCTCAGTTGGTTAAGAGTTAGCTTAAGAGCATGAGCTCTGAGCCACAGGGTCACCAATTCGATCCCCACATGGGCCAGTGATGCTGCACCTGAGCTGAGCTGCCGCTGAGCTGCCAACAGGTGGCAGGATGGCTCAGCTGATGAGAGCACATGCTCCTAACAACAAGACTGCCTGTTCAAAGGTGGGCTACGGCCGCCCGCAACTAAGGCTGAACTCGGCACCATGAGCTGAGCTGCCACCCGGATGACTCGGTGAATAGAGCGTGCACTCTTAATAACAAGGCTGCCGGTTCGACACTTGCATGGGATGGTGGCTATGCCCACCTGCAACTAAGATTGAACACAGCACCTTGAGCTTAGAGGCCACAAGCTGCCAACGGGCAGCCAGGTAGCGACTGGCGCCCTCCACAACTAAGATTGAAGAACAACTTGGCTGGTCCCCCTCCCCAATTCCCCAACACTGTTCCCCTCCCCAATTCCCCAACACTGTTCTCCTCCCCCAATTCCCCAATTTAAGAAAAAAAAAAGATTCACTCTTCTCTTCCTCACATATCTGACATGCAATCCATCAGGACGTCTAGTCAGTTTCACTTTTGAAGCACACCCTACCTGCAACTATTTCTCTCCACTTCCATTGCCCCCTTCCTTGTCTGAGCCACCATCACCTCTCACTTGGATTTTAGCAATAGCTTCTAATTGTCCTCCCTGTTTCTACCGGTGCCTTTTTTCAGGCTATTCCTAATACACAGGACTTAAAATCCAAGTCAAATCATATAGGCCCTCCAACGTCTTTCCACCTCACCCCAAGGAAAAGCCTCCACCTTTGCAGCAGCTGTGAGGGTCCGTCGACTTCTCTGACTCCTCCCCAGTCCCGCATCCTCCCTGCCATTCCTTCAATGCACTTGGAGATGCCCCCTACGCACTCACTTTTCCTCCGTCTGGATCATTCCTTCCAGGTACCCACAAGGCGACCCCCTCACCTCCTCAAAGTCAGTGCTCTGATTGTATCTTCTCAACGAGACTTACCCTGGCTACACAATTTTCTTTTCTTTTCTTTTGCTTTAT